GCAAGTTACATCTTTTTATAAGCAAGTTACATCTTTTTATAAGCAAGTTACATCTTTTTAAAAGCGAGTTACATATATATAAACACGAGTTGCATTTGACATGCATGAACGCGACTTACATATATTTACACGTAAAGTTACATATTTTTACACGTTAAGTTACATATTTATACACACGAGTTACATATTTATACACACGAGTTGCATTTGACCTATCTGAACGCAAGTTACATATTTTTTTTACGTAAAGTTACATATTGTTACACGTAGAGATACATATTTATACACACGAGTTGCATTTGACTTGACTGAACGTGAGTTACATATTTTAACACTTAAAGTTACATATTTTACACACAAATGTTAATATGTTAAAATTACATAGGCAATATTGGTCTCATTTGAAAGATCATGAAAAATAAAAAATGTTGATATAAATTTTATAAAAATCGGATCAAAAATAAAAAAGTTATAACCATTTTTTAAAAACAAAAAGAAAAAAAAAAAAAAAACCGTCCCGGTATACGGTGCTCACCGTATACCGGTTGCACCGTATACCGGTTGCACGGTATATCGTGTGAATCTATGAGTTGGATTAAAGGACAAATCCTTGTCAAGAGGGGGAGTATATATGATGGGGTCTGAATAGCTAGCTAGATTCACTCGGCTAATTTTTAGTTGTTCGATAGATGGATTTATTTACTACCTCCGTTCCCATTTTAACTTCCAAATGGGTTTGACACAAAATTTAAGATAGTAGATATTGTGTGGTGGAGAGTTGTGCAGAAGAGAAAGAAATGTGTAAGAAATGTTGTGAACCACAAATTCTTTACCAAAAAAGGAAAGTGGAAGTTTTAATTGGAAGGACGAAAAAAGAATGTTGGAAGTTTATTCCTTGTAATGGATGGAAGCCGAGAAAAGCTAAGGAAGTTTAGAAGATGAATTTTGAGATATGTGCCTTGAATCTAAATTAGTATTTTGAGATATGTGCCTTGAATCTAAGCCGAGAAAAGCTAAGGAAGTTTAGAAGATAAATTTTGAGATATGTGCCTTGAATCTAAATTAATAAGGTCTGAAATTCCTTCTTAGTTTTGCCCATATTAGTGTTTCTTCAATGATATTTTCGTTTCTTTCAATTATTTGATAAGTAGGTACTTTTTATGGAAAACCCAAATAATTTATTAATCTGAATGCTTACAAAAAATCATGCTTTGAATTAAAATGATTATCACAATGTGCACATGAAACAGCCGCTCTAGCTAGTGCGTGAGACACCCGGTTCACAGAACGACCACAAAAACTAATCGACAAAAGCTCATACACCCGTAGCAATTCTCTCACGTCATCAAGTACCAAGTCGACATACGATAAGCCCGACTCACCTTGACAGCGGTGGAACTAGAACTTATTTGAGCGGATGCTGAGAAAGATGAGAAATATATGATTTTTTTTGTTGTACACGCCGGTTTACAAGTTTTTTGTATACCTCCCATAGTAAACATGTGAATCGTAATTTTTTTTGAAAATAAACAAATATGATTATCTTAATTCGAAGTGTTAGAAATTTTCCTTGTTGATGTATAAAAAAGTGTTAGATAATTTGTCTACATCTAAATAGCGAACTAACTACTCTTAGGAAATAAATTCAACACGAGGTTGTTTTTCCTTTTTATTCTCTTCATTAGAAGCTCTTGAAGACTGCTCAATCAGTATTACGAATTCAAACATGCTTAAGCTAAAATATTATACAACAATAGACCCAAAAAATAATTAGATAAAGATCAGACCAGACTAAAACAGATCCAACCAAACTAGAATCGAGGAGGGGCGTCGGCACGGTCTCGCAACCCCTGGTTTCGCCGATGCACCTTAAATCCTGGAAAAACCCATAACTGCATCTGTTTTCACAATCACCTTGTTCTAGCCATTCTTTCCAGCCCACAACACCGCCTCCCGAACTCCATGAGCTTCGGTTTCAAAACATTGAAGCTTTGACTTACATACTTCTGGCCTTCACAAAACAGCTATGTGTATCACGTGCTACCCATCCCCACGCCCTGCGGCCACAGCCATTATCTACCGCCGCATACACATTTATTTTAACCCAATTCAATCCACATGTGGTTTCCTCCAATGTCATCATGCTCCTCAATCTCTCTATGGTGCCACAATTAGCCCGCCCACCTCACGAACCACCTCAAGAAGAAGAAGAAGAAGAAGAAGAAGAAGAACAAGAAGAAGAAGAAGAAGACCATTACTGGTTTGTATGATCCAGCTTCCAGTACAAAGGTAACTAAGAAAGCTTGGACCCTCTTCCACCTTTTATATCTATCATGAAAAGTAGGTAGGGTGGCCGTCGATCGATGAATTGAGAAAGATAGGACCGAGGATTCTATTCCCTGCTTCCCATCATTTCATACGGGAAAATGATGGGTTTCTAGTGTGTTTTATCCCACACCGAAAAATTCAAGGGCTTTTCACCCCCTTATAAAGGGAAGCCTCTTTTAAGGAGTTAAGATTCCTAAAGGTAAAGGCTCTCTCTTACGCGCAGGGGGGGTTCCGATCAAATCCCGAAACGGAGAAGAAAAACCGCGATTCGTGTGCACGGGCTTCGTACCAGAGACGCTCCAACTCTGGTGGCTTCGCATCAGAGTTGCTCCAACTCTGGTGGAGGTATTCTGGTAGAATCAGAGTTGCTCCAACTCTGATGGGGGTATTCTGATCGCGCACCAGAACTGCTCTAAGCCGTTACAGCCATTAAATGCCCAACGTTTTTGTCTTTTAATGCAGCGTTAAATGAACAGTTTATGGATGATTCAATGCCCAACGAACTGGTCATTGATGTCCAACGTTCAGGTCCATTAACACCCCATTTAACACACAAGAAATCCTCCTATAAAAGGCTGGCAGGTGTTTTGCAACAAATACACGGTTTGACAACACACAATACATTCCTCATGTTTTCTTGAGCTAAAAACACTTCCAGCTACTCCGAAATTTCCCTAGTGTTCTGCTATTGTTCCAGTTCGCCGGGACTTTCGTTTGTGTGCTCAAACGATCGTTCGTTAGTCACCGTATCCTGGGAAACGGTCGTTGCAACGCTCCTAGCACCGTGGGAGGCGACGAATACGTTTTAAGGACATCGTGTGTAGCACGAGCTCTGGCTAAAATCTGCTTCATCTTATTTTCTGTTTTCTTTTAGCTATTTTATTTATTAATTAATTTTATTTAATTAGTATTTCTTCGTTTTTCCGAAACACACCCAACACATACAACCATATTATTCCTTCTATGGCAGTTACCATAATGGAATTGATTCATTTTCAATTATTTCCTTATTAGTAGGAGTTTGAAGTAATTTTTTGTTTACATCCATGATCCATCCTACTCAATCGGCAATTACCATACAAGTATTAATTCCTTATTATTAGGATATTAGCAGGCCAATTTTAGGAGGAAATGATTGCTTGTTCGTTACCGAGTGGTGGACATGATTAGAATTAGAAAAAGTAAGAGAAAATTATCACTCATATGATTAAAAGACCATCTATTTTCCAATGCATGACCTGGCTGTTTTTTCCCTATTTTGTTGCTTGATTATTGGCCACCCTACTCATTGTTGCACACCTATATTAATTTTCAACCCTAAAATGTAGGGATTAATACGAGTATCTTACTCATCTAGTGTGTTAAACATTATTTTTAGTCGTATTATGGGAATCTCCATCTTTTAGTATTATTATAGTATTTTCTCCCTAAAACCTAATTAGCTCCTACCCATTTTAAATGCATTTTAAACTTATGTTTAAAAAATACTCCGTAGAAAATTATTTGTCTTTTGACTAAAGGAACATGATATTTCTAAAGTATGACTATTAGCTTTTTCCCTGATCTAACGCTTCCATAATGAACATGGCAATTCATGTGGCTTTACTATTTATTAAGCAGACTACTATAATACGGAGGAATACCAAAAGATGGAGAAATTCCCATAATATGATGTTCTTTTAATTATAAGACAATTAATTTTCTATTTTTAAAACATAAATTTAAAAACGGATGCCGCATCGTATCACCAATTCGCCCTTGAGATCTGTGGTCGTCTCCCTTGAATAAAAGTTCCAGTTTTTACCGTCTTGAAATTGCGGAGCAGACGGAGGTTGCGCGTCAAAGAATCAATCGAGCGACGAGCGGGAGTTGTGCCTTGTTTGTGTCAATAATCATAGCGATGGTCCGGCCTCCTCCTGAATCGTCGTCAGGAGATGATCGAACGAGGTGCTAGGGTTCAAGATACCTGTTTTGCTTATTTAGTTTTTTCATGTTTCGTCCTTCCCCTATTAGTTTTTATTATTTTATCATTTGGTTTCTTGTTATCATATATGTTGTTAGGTTTGTCAGTTTATTTGGGAATTTAGCCTCCTTTTATTTCATTGAGTAGGTTTGGATCTATGGGAACAGAGGTTAGCGATTTGTGTTGCTCTTTCAGGGGTGCCCGTCTCTAAGTCTGATCATGGGGTTTACAGTCGTAGTTGTTGGAGTTTAGTTGATGTCAGATTTGTTTTTCTTTTGATTGATGTAATGATCTTGAAACTTATGATATGAATAGATGCAGGTTTCCGTTAAGAACTAATTAGGTTTTAGACCCAAGTTACAAGGGCGTGAGTAACTATGGGGTAAATTGAAAAAGTTTGTCTAAATATCTACGGAGTATTTCAAAAAATCATCCAAACACAACATATGGTCGGGCTCCACCATTCACTATGGGTTTGGGCAATAATTAAAGCAATAATTTGATCAACTTAAAATTACTTTTGTCGAGTAAAATGGAAATCAAGTTGGAGGTTAAAGTTTGGAACTATTCCAAAAGATTGATTTGGCGGGTGGCGTGGGTCCGGGCCTACCATAATCTTATCTGTAGAGCGTCTAGAAAATAATATCTTTTGTGGCTCTTATTATACGGGTGGACACGCGGAACAATTTAATTGCTGGTTGGGAAGCCTTCAGGTTACCGCCTTCTTTATTCTTCACTTTCTTCTCCACTATAAAACCTTCTCTTCTGGATAACCTTTCGTAGTCTTACCGTTATCTTTCCTAGCATTTTCCACACACACAAAAAGCTTCTAGATCCATTCCGAGTCATGAGCTCGGTACAATTCACTGAGTTGCTTCCGGGTCTGCCCGAGGAACTCGCTCTCGAATGCTTGACCCGATTGCATTACTCGACCCACTCAGTCGCCTCGCTCGTCTGCCGCCGCTGGCGCCACCTCCTCCTCAGCCGGGACTTCTATTATCACCGGAAGAAGACGGGTCATACCCACAAAGCCGCCTGCCTCGTCCAGGCGCTTCCGATTCCCCCCTCCTCCAAACCGATCGGGCAACCCAGTTACGGGATTTCCATGTTCGACCCGGTGAGCGGGACCTGGAGCTGGGTCGACCCGATTCCCAAGTACCGCAGCGGGCTGCCGATGTTCTGCCAAATCGTCAGCTCGGAAGGGAAGCTCGCGGTGATGGGCGGGTGGGACCCGGTGAATTGGGACCCGGTGAAGGACATGTTCGTGTACGATTTCGCCACTCGCGGGTGGACTCAGTGCGAGGACATGCCGTCGAAACGGTCGTTCTTCGCCGCGGGGGCGGTTGACGGCAGGGTGATCGTCGCCGGCGGGCACGACGAGAGCAAGAACGCGCTGAAATCGGCGTGGGTGTTCGACATCAGAAGGAACGAGTGGAACGAGCTGGCCTCGATGAGCGAGGAGCGAGACGAGTGCGAGGGGGTGGTGGTCGGGTCGGAGTTCTGGGTCGTGAGCGGGTACGGGACGGAGACGCAGGGGCGGTTCACAAGCAGCGCCGAGTCGCTGGAGCTCGCGACCGGCGAGTGGAAGCGAGTCGAGGACGTGTGGGGAGCCAGCCGGTGCCCGAGAGCGTGCGTGGGGATGGGCAAAAACGGGAACTTGATGTGCTGGGCGGACAGTGACCCGGAGATTCGGGTCGGAGCCTGCGGGGTTGATCTGGGCGACCTGACCTTGGTGACCGGGTCAGCCTACCAGGGCGCGCCACATGGTTTTTTCTCTATGGATAACAGAGGGCAAGATCGCAAACTGGAGAAAATTGAGGTCCCTGTTGAGTTCGCTGGGTTCGTCCAGTCCGGTTGCACAGTTGAGATATGAAAAAATGCATTTTATTCCCGCACAGCTATAGTTTGACCGTATGGCCGGATGAATCAGTCGGACCGTTTGACCCGATGTCCCCGAGACCCGACCCATCCGGACTGGTTTGATACTTTGATAAATAGGGGAGATGTTTATGGTTTGTCTCATTGCGCTTTTTGCTAAAGCAAACCAGTGGCACTTTTTTCTTTTATTCAGCATATATGTACAAGAAAGAAGCATATTGTGGGCCCTTTGGCATAATATCACGTTTGGAATTACGGTTTGGGTAATTTACTGCTCCATATTTATGTGGATATGAAATATAGCTCTTTTGTGAGTGAACCGTTTTCTGGTACGGTGACCTATATGTTTTTCAAATTTGAGCCATTAGTTTTGTTTTAATAGATGCAGAATATAAGTACGTCTCCTTAAATGTACACTTTTATGGTGATCAGAAAGTCACGCTCACCTATTTTCTGGTAAGAACTCCGAGTTTTAATTTGTTGAGATGAGGATGATTGGAATCCTATGTAGAAGGGATCTCCAATCCAAATATGGTGAAAAAAAGGATAATACCAAAATATACTACCTTTGTTGAGATCTTCCAGCTTTGAAATGGAGTGAGATTATGAAAGTATGAAAGAGATTATGAAAGTATGAAAGTATGATGAGATGAAAGATAAAGAAATAATGTCAAAAATAAGACTTAAGATTTTTGAGAGGACAAAACTATGACTATTATTGGGAAAGACCAACAAGAGACCAGATTGGCTATAGACCAATCCATTATCGGACCAAGGACAAATCGAAATCGAGCATTTCCTGTAGGATTCTTCCACCTTCTTTATTGGAAGTTGCCAAGAGACATATAACACCTTCTAGGAAAGCCATCCAACATTGAGATACTTTCACATCCCTTCATCAAAGTTGCTTGGAGATAGCTAGGAAATTCTCTGGCAATGGGAATGGAAGTTAGGATACAACTTCTCCCATATACATCTATAAATACGAGTGTATTGTTGTTCATTATCATCAGTGTAGAAAGTGAGAAAAATGTGTGAATAGTGAAATTGATAGAGTATATCTAGAGAGAGGTGAGAGCTAGAGAGAGAAGTGCAATAATATGCTTCAATAGAATGAATTTGTAACCCCTATAACTACTCCCAAGGGGAGTATTTATAGAGAAAATACGGGCTGGGCTCCCAAGCCTTGGGCTTGGGAGGCCCATTTACAACTGGACCGCTACTGGGCCGAATACAAAGCCTCTAATGGGCTGTACGAATGAGTAAGTATAAAATCCGGTTCTGTGAGGTCTTCGTGGCCGACGAGGGCGTGGCCGACGAGGGCACGGACGACGAGGGCACCCGGGTTCCTTGGCTTCAGGACCATAATCTGGGTTGGCACCTTCTCGGCCGACGGGGGTCCCCTGGCCGACGTGGGCGCCACTCGGTGTCTTGTGCTTTCTGTTCTTCTGAGTATGTGGGTCTGGGGGCTCAGACCCATACACTCCATCAGGAGTCCCCCACTCTCTAAGCTGAGACGTAGACGAAGTGAAGGAGAGTAGATTCCCGTGTTTTGGTGCTTTTGGCCGATGCGGGCATTCCCAGGCCGTTAGCTGTTGCGGCGTTGGCGCTGTTTCCATTTTGGTGATCCTGTTCTGTGCTTTGACCGTTACCTGCTCCTTGCTGTGGACGGGGAGGCCGTTGTTTACTTGATGTGTTCGTTTGGGGACGATGAGTGTCCTGCTTCAATGGTGGCCGTTGAAGGCGCGCTTTCCCTTTCTTGGGTGCTGATGGTTGAAGTTTACCTTTGGGCCGATGAGGCCGTTGAGGTTGATCCTTGCTTCGAGGACGATGGCGTCCTTTCCTTTGGGTTGCCGATGAGGGTGTTTGCGCACTCCTTTTGGCCGTCGCTGATTGGCTTTCGTGTTCTTGGCCGAAGAGCCCATTATGATTAACTGTGGCGGAAGACGATGAGTGTCCTTGCCTTAGGTGGCCAGTTGGCCGTTGCTGATGACGTTATGTTCCTTTGGCCGACGAGGCGCAGTGTGATACATGGACGATGTGGCCATGCTTCATGGTTACATTTGTGTTTGCATTTTTCCTTTTGTTTTGTTGAGGCCGGTGTAGTCCCCCAGTCCCCCACTGCTTCAGGCCGAAGAGTGTGAGGGGTGAAGGAGTTGCTTGAGTCCCTGGCCGAAGCGGCCTCTCCGTAGTGCCCCTGAATCCAACCCTCATGGAGATTTTCTGGCCAAGGTAACCCTGTGGGAGAACCCTTGTGCGCAGATCGCTTGTAAAGAGTTATCATCAAGGGTCGTTACGAGGAGCCGATGGGCGTTCATGACATTCCTGGCCGTTGTTATCTCGTTATTGTTGGCATTTGTGAACTTGGCAAGCAAATAGGCCGTTATGGGCGCTTGCTGGCACTTGTGAAGCCGGCCAGCGTGTAGGCCGTAGAGTCTGATTCGCCAGTGGGCTCTTGATATGTAGGTTGGGCTTGGCACGTTGGTGACGTGGTGGCCTCCCATTGGTGGCCGTTGATGTGGCCATTGGGAGGGTGCCACGTGTAGTGACCGTTGGGTGGGGGGGTTCTATAAATACCCCTCCCCCTCCGACCAGAAATCTCATTTGCAATCTGAGTTGTCGAAGTGCTGGCCAATTTTCTAGAGAGATAAACTCCCAAGCTCGTGTTCTTCGTGTTCTTCGTGTTCAAGGTTAGTGTTCATCGCAATCTTCTGTACTTTGCATACTTTGCTTCCTAGGCTAGTGATCTAGTGTTAGGCGCTTGAACACCCTTAGATCCTAAGTTATTCCCCTTAGGCTCGTAGTAGTTGTTATGATGAAGAGCTTGAATGAAGACTACTATCCGTACGACGACCAGCCCTCCACTAGGTCGCTCGACTATGAGGTGCTTGAGGAGTTCGAGGAGGAGATACAACACTTAAGTCCTTACAAGTCCGGATCGCCGGTGGACGACGAAGTTGAGGACGAGGAGTCTGTCTCGTCTTCAAAAGGTGAGGACGCAGGTGCGTCCCGAGTGGTGGACGGGGCGTCCACTTCCGCTGTTATTCCATGCCCGAGACCGGTGTCTGCCGTGAAGGGAGCAGATAAGCCGAAGAGAATAAGGAGGCCGAAGAGTGGGCCGGGCGTCTCCTACCTGGATCTCACAAACATCTTCGTGATCAAGCCGGAGAGCAGTGCGGCCGACTACTTGGTTGCCCAGATGTACGTGGGGCCGTTCGGGCGGGTTAGGGCACCCAGGCCGACGGACCATGTTCTTCATCCGCCACCGGGATACTTTGGAGTATACCCGATGAGTTTCGCCAAGGGGCTGAGGTTTCCCCTTCACCCCTTCATCACCGAATACCTTTACATGGTGGGGCTCCCTCCGGCCTTGCTGACGCCGAACAGCTACTCATTGATGGTGGGGTTTTTGCTCCGCTGTGAAGAGCTGGGCTACAGGCCGACGACGGCTCTGTTCATGAATCTGTATCAGATAGGCCGAGGAAGCCACAAAAGTTGTGCGGCCTATGCTACTCTCCAACAGCTGCCGAAGAAGAGGAGCTTCACGGACTTGCCTTCGTCCATTCATGGGTGGAAGAGCAAGTTCGTTTTTGTATCCCTTGGTGAGAATGGCACCGAGTTTCCCTCTCTCGGCCATACCGGGAGGTTCAATCTGCACGACCCGCCGAAGAGTTCTATCTTGGACGCTCAGGTGGAGGCGTTCTTGGAAGGGGAGCCAAGGAGCGTGAAGGATTATATCACCGAATACAAGATGACCGCCCTCGGCTTCTTAAGATATCATGTATATGGCGACAAGGAGGACGATATCCAACTTTGGCCGAGGATGACCACTACCTTCGAAGAGGCCGACGGCCCGGATTTGGGCATTCCTGCTGAGGCCGATGGTAATTATTTCTTCGGCTTTCTTCCTTTAAAATTTGTTCTTTTGCCTTGCTAATCTGTTCGTTTTCCTTTGTGTAGATTTTGCCATGGATCGCCGTTCAATCATGACTATAGCCAAGGCCAAGGCGGCCGAGGAGTTGGCTGCAAAGGCGGCCGAGGCGGCCAGACGTGCCGCGGCCGAGGGAGGCGGGGCTACTACTGGTGCGGCGCCGAAGCCTGCCCAGTCCAAAAAGAAGAGGCCTCCTACTGACGGCCAGAAGAAATTGACTGAGGCCGGCCTGAACGTTACTAAGAAGACGAAGAGGGCACCGTCTCCTTCCCATGCTACTGAGGCCGACACTCTGACCGTCCCAAGTGTGGACGATAGTGGTCCCGTTGTGGATCTCACTGCTGCGCCAAGCGATGCTGCCCAATCGCTCCCTCTCGTCCAGGAGCCACGGACGAAGAGGGCCGGCAAGGAGATTGCCGCCGCCACCTACCAGAAGATGGTGGAATACCCCGTCGGCGGGGGTGTTTTTGATGATGTCGTCCTCGGCCACGATGTGCTGGCCCAGGCCATGCCGGCCAAAGATAGGGCCTACCTGAAGAGGCTCGGGGACGTCAAGGTGTACAAGGGCGGGATGGACCTCCTCGTCCAAGTAAGTTCCCTTCCTTTTGTTTGTCGTTTTTCTCGTCGTCCGGGTGGAATCATTTGCCTGAGTTTTGTTTGCCTTTTTTATGCAGGGTGCCTTCATGCTCATGGAGAGCCACAAGAGGCAGTACCGGGAGATAGCTCGTCTGAAAGAGCTTGAGCAGAAAGCTGCCTCGGCCGATGAGGCGGTAGCTTGCTTGGATCGGCTCCGGGAGGATGCCAAGGCCTTGCAACAGAGGGCCGACGAGGCCGCTGCAGCCAGGGACGATGCCCTGGCCAAACTCGAGGAGAGCCAAATGGCGCTTGAGGCCGAGCGGCGCAAAAACGATGAAGCCGTGAAGGCAAAAGCTGAGGCCGAGGCCGCCGCTGTGAAGGCCGCTGATGAGGCCGTTAAGCAGTTCCTGGCCGAGGGGTGGAAGGCCGATGAGCGGCTCTCCTGGTGCTATGAGGTGGTGGCCGCTAAGCTTGAAGATTGGGGGATGAACTCCCCCGCCGGCCAGGAGTATTTTAGCAGGGAGATGGCCGTGTACTATAACATGGGCCAGGAGCGGATGCAGAGGCTCCTGTGTCGGCGGCTATCTCGTGCTCTTAAGGCCATGAATTATTCCTCCGGGTGGGCTAGACGGAACTTGAAGCTTCCCAAGCTGATGAAAGATCCCGAGGAGTAGGCCAAGCTTCCTCTGTCGGAGCGGGAGTCCCCCATCGAGAGTTCCGGCCTCGGCGAGCCGGATTACACGGAGTTTGACTTCCTGGACGATGCCACCAGTTCTGCGGCTGCTGCTGGCCAGGAGACTGAGGCCGAGGAGGGAGCCGAAGACGTCGAAGAGCCAGCCGAGGATGGAGGCG